GACCGAATTTGAGGCACGCCCAGTTTTGCGAAACTTAAGTAATTTTTCAAATGTGCGCTCTTTCCGCAGTGAGTATAGTCAAGTTGCTCTTGACTGGATTAGCACTGGTGAACCATTGCCGACCACCTTATTTATAACGTACACCGCTGTCTCGAGAAAAAACGTAGAGCCATATACATGCGCTAATAACACATATACTCTTTATCGCGGACAATGTTATCGTTTTGACCAAGGAGGTCCTGTATTAACCTGGGAAAACGCTGAAAAGGCATGCCAGGCGGAAGGTGGTCACCTCGCCAGCGTTCAGAGCAACAGAGAAGCACGATTTCTCAAGCGTTTGATCACTTATGAATCAGTGCAGAAATTTGATAGAAGCGCCTGTAAACAGACGATGCCCTGGGCGGGAGTTTTCATCGGGTTGAGAGATGGCTATGAGGTATGTATCCTTTTATATAGATGTAAATATTAATATAAATATTAATTGAATCTAGGCTTAAATTCAAGAAAAAGTCAGTGGAAAATACGGAGCGGAAAAACCGTCTGGCAGAAAAAATTCGAAAGACTATGCAAATGCACATTTGCAACTCTGTAAAGGCTTTGATATGGCATTAATTGCGCTTTATCACTGCAGTAATATGCTAACATTGTCTCTTTACAGGGTGGAGGCTTCATGTGGACGGATGGCAGGCCCTACATTTATTCCGAGTGGTTCGGTCCAGAACCATTTACCTCAGTGCCATTAAATCGTGACTGGAAAGGACCACTTCGTTCGATCTTTGACCCAGAAAACGTCCAGCCGGAAAAGAGACCGGACAAGAAATGCACCCTTATGCTTCCCGCACTCCAATATGACTGGACTAGAGGAAGCAGCTGGGTTAAAGTTTCGTGTTTCAAGCCGTTCTGCTGCACAGGATTTGTGTGCAAAATGCCAGCAGTGCCAACTGCCGTACCTTTAAGAGACAATTCTCCCCTCCTCGTTGATGAAATGATGTCTGAAAACAACAGTCCAACTGGCATCTATTGTCAACCAGGCTGGGTGTACTATGAAAACGCTTGCATATCCTTAATTCTCTCCGATGCCCTTAGCATAGAACTGCTATCATTTGGCTCCTGGGAATACATACGTTACAGTCTGTTCGCATCTTGGGCGGCCACCGAACACGACAAGTTTTCTATGACATTCAATCAAGCTCTTAACCGATGTCACCAGGAGAATGCAACATTGACGGAGACCACAAACTACAATGCACTCAATTACCAGAAAATTTTCCAAATGTTTGCCAAGGAAGCCTCGTGGTTCTCAGTGGGAACAGACCTGCCTTGGTTGGAAACAGCATGGGGACAAGAATCATCATACGTAAGGAAAGATACCTCGAGAATAGCTGGATGGATGATGGCTACTAATGGCAGCTGCCTACACATATCCCTGGCGAACATGAGGTATCGCAACATCGTCGCTGAGGATGTGACAATACCAGCGAACCACTGCCAGGGGAATGCTAGTAAGCCTCGAGCTATTTATGCTGTATGCGAAAAAGAACCAGCCAAACCCCCTAGCCATTGTTCCAATAACCAGTACCCCTGCAGTGACGATGTCTGTATAAGCCTTGGGGCTGTTTGCGACGGAGACCCTGACTGTTCCTCGGGAGAAGACGAAATGAAATGCTCATTTGGTGTGGATTCATTCCGGTGCGATGATGGAAAATACATCCCTGTTAATAAAGTCTGTGACTTCGTAATGGACTGCATGACAAACGAGGATGAAGAATTCTGCTCCCACCCAGTCTGTAATGACTTCAGCCAGTTTCAATGCAGAAATGGCCAGTGTGTGAGCCGCCACAATGTTTGTGACGGACGTTTTGATTGCATTGACAATACTGACGAAGCACCACTTAACGACTGCAGGGTTGTGTGTGAGGCAGGCATGCATTGTTACAATGGCGACTGCATCTCCAAAAGTTTCTTTAACAACATGCGACCAGATTGTTCGCTGCAGGAGGATGAAGCTGATCAACGAGGACAATCAAAGGGACAGTCGGATTGTAAAACGCTTCCTGGCAATAACATGGCCGCTTTCAACATGACATACTGTTCTTCTCCTGAACATGTGCGATGTAAACCAGAGCACTCTAAGTGTTACCCACGAGGTGAAACATGCCGGTATGACAGGCATCTCCTTGCTAGGGGAGACACTTGCCCACATTTTGATCATTTGAAACACTGCTTTCACTACCAATGCCCAGATATGTATAAATGCAAGGACAGCTACTGCATTCCCATTAGGCATCTGTGCGACACTGTACAAGACTGCCCCAATGGTGAAGATGAAGAACCCGCGTATTGTTCAAATTACACGTGCCCGTCTAAATTTCGTTGCAAAGGCGCTCGGTTCTGTCTGCATCACAATGATGTATGTGATGGAGTGCTGCACTGTATGGATTCAATGGATGATGAAAGATTCTGCGATGCCACCAGCTGCTCAGAAGGATGCAAATGTGCTGGATACTTCGTAGATTGCAGTAACGGTAATTTCTCGGAACCACCAAACTTGACTTTTAAAACACAGGTTCGAGCCCTCGTGATGTCGCGCAATGCCCTCATTCTTACCTCAGAAATGTTTGACCAATTTCAATATCTAACCAAATTAAATTTAAACAGTAACGAAATTGTTGATGTTCCAGAACACACATTTGTGAATCTAGTAAACCTTCTTGAGCTTGACTTATCGAATAATAAGATAACATACTTTAAAAACGGGAGCTTTTACGGATTACGCGCGTTAAAGTCGCTGTTGATTTTGGGCAACCCTTTAACTGCAATCGCTAGTGGTGCGTTTTATGGTCTTGACAAAATGGCGGTGATGAACTTGAGTTTTCTCCCAATAGAAAGATTGCCAGAGTATGCGTTTAAGGGGCTTGATGCTTTGGTCAGTTTACAAATTGCTAACACAAAACTTTCAGAAGTAAACGAGAAAGCTTTCTCAGATCTGAAGTCCTTAGAAGAACTTGATATTTCACAAAACGACGACTTAGAATTAAATGCAAATGTTTTTAACCCCTTACAGCTACACCATCTGAAGACTGACAGTTTTGCGTTTTGCTGTCTTGCTCGAGGACACTTTCAGAAGTGCTCGCCGGAGCCAGACGAATTTTCCTCTTGTGCCGATTTACTTGCCAGTCCCGTTTTACAGGTGTCCATTTGGGTTATGGGGGTGTTGGCAGTAATAGGAAATTCCTTGGTAATTATTTTGTGGATACGGGCGAAAAAAGTAACCACAGGTACAGTCCTTATTCTACATCTTGCCATAGCTGATTTGTTAATGGGTGTGTACTTGTTGATAGTTGGTTCGGCAGACGTAATATATAGAGGTAGCTACTATCTCTATGCTGTAAGGTGGAAAAGAGGGGCAATATGTGGTATGGCTGGGTTTCTGTCTATGGTAGCAAGCGAAATGTCTGTCACACTGTTAGTTTTGATTACTTTAGATAGACTCTTGACCGTCGTTTTCTTTATCAAGAACGTGAAACTAGATGTAAAAGCAGCTGGGATAGCAGTCGCAATAGCTTGGGTAACTTGGACTGCTCTAAGCGCTTTACCTTTAATGGAGTCTGAGTATTTTAAAGAGTTTTATGGTCATAATTCTGTGTGCTTACCCTTTACCCTGAGTAGTGCAAGGTTTGGCGGACGAGAGTATGCATTCATCATTTTCGTAGTTATCAACATGGCGGCTTTCACGTTCATATGCCTCGCCTACGCAAGCATCGTCAGGGAGGTTTTCAAATCCAGCCAAAAGGTAGGCAGAAAAGATTCTGGCAAGGAACTGACGTTGCTTAGACGCGTATCTCTGATTTTGATAACAGATTTTATTTGTTGGTCGCCTGTGACGGTTCTCGGGGTGTTAAGTTTTACTGGGGTGTCTATTGACCCCCAGGTCTCCGCGTGGGTGGCGGTGTTCGTTCTCCCCATTAATTCGGCTCTCAATCCTTATCTATACACCCTGTCCAATGCTAGCATCGGCTCCTTATGCCGTAAGGAAAAGAAGATTCAATCCCAAGAATCAAAATCAAATGCTACAACTAGTCAGGCGTCAGCCTAGGCATCAATTCATTACACACATTGATTTCCAAAATCATTCTGTATGATGGAAATTTAGGGTTTTTTTATAACTGTTCCTCTAACCAGCTGTGTGTTTTTGAACTATATTTTGAAGGTGGGCTGACCTACAAACATCTCCGGTCTTTAATACAAGCCATTAATCCACTTTGTCCATTAAGATTTTATTTAGGATGGTTATTGAAGTAGAACAGAAATGTTATATTTTTAATGTTTATTTCTGATGTTTTGGCTTCAAATATGTCGCTAGGTGTCATTTAGTACAAATCAACTTCTGCGTACGGTATAACTTTGTAGGCCAAAGGAATAGATAATAATAATAACAATAATTTATTCGGCTTTAAGTGTTACAATTTAATATTGTTTGCTGTCTAATTAAGCTACTTCTAACACTTCTCTGTTATCCTTACATCAAAAATATAAATAAAGGATAAAATATCTATCAAAGCATCAGTAACTGCAGTCTCACTTGACAATATAAGCAAGATCATTCTATACATAATAATTAGCTAAAAGTTAATTAATGCGATGGGTGCTTATTCATTGTGCTGCTAACTGAATATATTTCGATATTGCCATAAGGGATTTATGATCTTGAGGGTTGAGAAGGATAAATAGTTTCTGATCACTGCCTGCTATATGTAATTCATAATTTTGTCTCTCAGTATTTGGGAGGGAATTGAGCATGCTTTGTCGCATGGTAATTGCTGCAAGTGAGGAAGAAATGTTTCTCGTCCTCTATTTCTATTTTACAATGTATGCAGGTTCTTTCTTCCAGAGAGATTTTCATGTGCCTGCCTCTCTCTATCGCCAGTTCATGGTCACTTATTCTGTAGAAGTAACCATAGAGCAAGAAAATGAACGTGAACATATACAAGACAAACATGCATATATACAGATGTTTTATTATAAAATCTTGTCCGCCATTGAATTATACTTTGATAGAAACTTGATAGACTAAATCAGCTTAGAAAAATATATCCATTACGTATAATTTTTGTTTATGTTTATGAATGTTTTTTTTACGATCCTTAGAAATTAAGTTATAAATCAAGGTCACTTAGATGACTCCAATATTTAAACGTTTATCGAAAGCAACCTTCGGCTTTTAGTGAATTGTCTGATTTTTCAAATTGCCACAGTGAGCATTTCTCCCAGAAAACCGTTCAGCTTTGATCTTATTTGAAACGATTGATAAATGCATTTTTCGCGTTCACCACAAATGTGTGTATGTTGTACCTTTGTTTTATTCCATACATTGATGAATAAAGTAGACCTAATATTTCAGCATGGTCATTAATGCGTTCCTTAATTGACAGTTATGTATGTGCACAAATTTTTCGTTAATTTTAGTTAATAATTCATATTCAGACGTGACTTCGACCATGACTGATGTTGTGCAGCGACCTGGAAAATTGCAAACATGACAGTCAAATGCAAAACCATCATTCTTCATCAGTTCCATTTTCTAATTATCAAGCTATTCAAACCATCGGTTGAAGTGAACTCAGATGTCCCTCCTTCGGATTTCTTTAACGTTTCCTTTGTATATTTAAAGAAAAGCGTTCCTAATTTCATCTATAAAATTTAAATTGTATATCTGTAACACAGAAAATGGTAACCAGGCAGCTGTGTACTTGATCACATATAGTAACATTTCTCTTCATAATACACAGTGTTTAAAGAAAATCCAAAGTTTTGTCTATTCATTCTTTACTTCTTTTGTATCCAATTGCTTCTTCATTTCAAAAGCAACCACCGTTACAGCATTTCCAACAATAGTCTCACCTGAATCTGGCAACGTGGGAACACATATTTTCTGCCCACCATAGTCGAACAAAAGTTTATTAAGAAAAGCATGGGCACTGATGTGTTGATTATTAACAGCAGTGTTAACAATGACTATGGCAGTTTTCCCTCTGGTAAAATCTACTTTGTAGTATTCTTTGATCTCAAATGACAACTGTTCATATTTCATCAAGTCCTGGTCATCTATGATCTTGTTCTCTTCAGGCATGTCTGCATCATCTTCTGACTCTTGGATCAGGCTTTCCACCATTGCTGGATCCATGGGACTGGCTTCTCTAGGAGACCAGTCGGCACAGTCTAGCACATGAACCTTGGTGCCTTCATCCAGATGACTAATCAAGGAATTAACAGTGACATCTTGAACAATGGGGATGTGAAACTGACATCCCTTTCCTGCCTGAACTACCTGTAGGTCCCACACATCAATGCAGCCTGCAAACAAACATTCCCCATTAAAAATTACATTTGTTTCCTTGTTGGGTATAAACTGTGGAAATAAGAAAAAGCATTCAAATCCCATGCCAATTCTATCTTGTACTTGACATTGGCCAGCAATAAACATTCAGCTTACCACCTTAAAATTTTCATTGTAAAAAAAAAAAACTCGGTATTTTACAGATAACACAAAATCTGGAAAACAATATCCATGAAGTATGCAAATGGCCATTTTAATAGGACTGTAACAACTTCCAATCATATAACCCATGACAATAATGGTAATTCAAAAATAAATAAATAAATAAAATCCTAGCAAAACAACTGGAGAGAAGTGATTGTCTACCTTCAGCAAGAAGGATTTTATCTACTCTTGCAGCAGCAGCTGCCTGTAAAAGTGTCACCATACTTGCTGGGTCTGTCACTCCATCACATATCAGTGTTATGGGGCAAACGTCCTGTCTCTGCATACCTATCCTTTCAGGGAGAGGCATCCTAAAGATACCTGAGAGGGAAAGTATACATTCATTATAATCTAACAACCAACTATAAAACATGTGTATAACACCTAGTGAAAAACAACATGCACACGCACAGAGAGAGAGAGAGAGAGAGAGAGAGAGAGAGAGAGAGGGAGGGAGGGAGGGAGGGAGGATGACCCATAAATGTTACCCACTCTAACTGTTCACTGTATAGTATGTCAATACTTAAATCTTTTGGGTCAGAAGAAAAATGTCACGGAAGCATGAAGTTTTTATTGGATACTATTAGTTCCTTACAGTCTCACTATTTCAGAACAGTGTTCAATAATTCATGACATGTTCAATCCTTGCACCTCATCCTGAATTAGTTGCTTCTCAGTGCATGGATTCCACAACTGTCATTAATTATTGAACAACACCAATTTTTAATATTCAACATAATGAATACATTCCAGTTATATATTATAGCAATGTTCAGCAAGAAAAATGCTCCTTACCTACAACATTAGGTGTTTCATCAGCATTACACCACAGTTGCATTGACTGCTTCTTAACTCCATATACATTTGGAATTTTCTTTTTACTTAAAGTTAAAGTGTCCAGCTTCTCTTGTACATTTAACATTACTTTACTGTCTCCGGAAAAGAATATGCTCTTGGGAATAAGACCTGCTTCCAGTGCTCTTAATATCAATGCTTCTCCCTGCACCAAAATTATATCATGTTTCTTTCGACTGTAGGCAGTCCTTGTATGCTGCATAATGTACCTGAAATGAAAAAAAAATGCTTAAGTACATGATCATATATCCTATTCATCTGATGAATAGGATATTTAACAAAGAAATATCCATATATGAAAACATTCAAACACGCTCAGATTGGGTTCACTGCCGCATGGGCTAACCAACTTCTGGGCATATTCAATTTAATGCACAATTCAGAAAAAGAAACAGTACCCTGACAGGACTTCGCCAAATTCTCACATTCAAAATTCCATGGTTGGAAGCCTTTCACAGTTTAGGATACTGTGGCCATATAAAAAAAGTTAAGCAATGTACTGGTTCATTTACACAGCTATAAGCAGCGAAATTTATTGGTTTTTCATAAGTACCAACTTGTAAAGGAGATACATTGCAGTCACTTAAAGTTGAGTCAGGACATTTCATAGTTACTATAACATTCACTTTATCTTCACATATTGGAGGATGTGCTACAAATGAACTAGCATTCCTATCGCAGTAAATGCAGAACTCTTGAAAAGTAGTGATAGAGACAGATCTTAAGAGATAAGCAAGCAATAGCAAAATCCAACACTTTTATGGTTACTGTGAAGGTGCCAAGAATAAGATTTTCCCATGCTTGAGCTTTAAAAAATTACAACAAACCAACCCTTTCCTGACACTCAACATAACTATGTTACATTCTGGAGAAAAGTCAAGATAGGCAGCCAGTTTTGTAAGAATGTGATAAATTTGGTGACAGTAAATCATATTCTGAAAAACTATCAAAAGTAATATTAGAGACCATTCCAACAGATATTTAGATCGATCTATCCCCCTGAGGAGTCTCACTAAATTGCTGTCAACTTGGCCAGCTTAAATGTCTGTCACATCTGTAAAGCTGTAAGAGGGTAATTATCTTTACCCTAGCTGATTCAGTAGGCATGACAGACTTAAGCTTTAAGCTTCTTGAGCTGGCAGCAATAGGGACAGTCGGGCTGACGTCACGCGCCTTAGCAACCGGCATCTGGGGTAAAACAAATCGGGCAACATGGCGGATCACATTGACTTCTAAGTAAAAGTTGGCAGACTTTGTCCGAAGATATCATACTTCGAAGTGCCTGAACACTTGTGTCAGTGAGGATGAGTTATTCACCTGGTCGATTTCCTTTACAGGCCTTTGTAATTAGCGGCTGCACACCTGGTTAAGAGATAAAATCGGCCTTAATATAACTGCCGATCGTTATCTGCGATCGGGGATTTTACAGCAGAAGATTTTGCAAAGGCAGTGCTTGACCTTTTGTGTCTGGCGAGTTGAATCATTTACCTGGACTATTAAGTTAAGCCTAGGTCCCAACTACGTTTTGGACGCAAAGTTTTTAGGTTCCTAGGACGTAGCTAGATCGCACGTAGCGGCTGTTGATCATGTCGAAAAGTTTCTACGTGCTGTTTGCGTCCTCCAAAAGACATAAACTCACAGGTTTGTCAATATATTGACGTACTTATTTTTCTTATCTTTATAACGCCCTCAATTAACTTACAACAAAAAAGTTCGACGTTATAGTCCATTAATTTTAACTAAAAGAATTGATATACCGTCACACATGCCAAAACAAGATGCAATCTCAATTTCTTGTAAATACTACTTATTAATTCCTGTAACAATTGACAAACATAAATACCAAACAAGGTACAATGACTTTCTCCATATCTATAATAAAATTAACTATACACAGTTTTTTTCTCATCACTCCTTGATNACATACACAAATCTCGTAGTGCATGTATACAGTGTAGCTATGACCAAATCTTGTTTCGATCATAAATCCCGTCTTTAGTCACGTTTGCACGACCTATAGCCTGCAACAGTCGTTTATTTTTTATTTTGAAATTTAAGAAATCCCCTTTGATTTTATTAATATGTTGGTAGTGTCACCTGGTATACAGCAAGCTTCCACCATTTAACTTTTGTACGTGCCTGTTAAACGTGAGTTAAACGGTACCGGTTCAATTCAGTAGGCCTGCAAAATCTACCCGTCATGTGTGTCAGCAATATGCAATGTCAACAGTTATAAGTACAATTGAAACCTTCCTTGATAACATCAGTTGCTTTCATACGGTTTTCTTTTCAAAGAGATGTGAATATTATGCTCATCCAGGTAGGCAAATGAGTCTTTGCAATCTACCACTGTAAGATTCCCGATCACAGATAACGATCGGCAGTTAAGGCCGATTTTATCTCTTAACCAGGTGTGCAGCGGCTAATTACAAAAGCCTGTAAAGGAAATCAACCAGGTAAATAGCTCAACTTCACTGACGCAAGTGGTCAGGAACTATGAAGTATGATATCTTCGGACAAAGTCTGCCAACTTTTACATAGAAGTCAATGCGATCTGCCATGTTGCCCGATTTGTTTTACCCCAGATGCCGGTTGCTAAGGTAAAGTGCCCGGATGACCGACTGTCCCTATTTAGCGTGAACCCCCAGGGAGTTAGGTCAATCCAGATGGATCGATCTAAATCTGTGGGAATGCAATCTCACTTGTACTTACTAGTACATATTTCCAACAAGAAATGGTTTACATACTTATACCTAAAAGTACTTGTATTCAAACTCTTATGATTTTCCCTTTAGTATGCCAAGGATACAAGTAAGCCATCTGTAAAAGAAATGTAACTAAGAAAGACTTACCCAAATCTAGGGTCCAGTTCTTTCAGCATTTCGTAACGTAATGGTTTCACTTTCACGCTATGTTTAGGGGCGTTTGACTGGTCTTCACTACTTCCTATAACAGGTGGTGCAACAGAAGACTTTGAAAATTTCTTAAATTTTTGTGGTTTCTTAGGAGTGCTAGGAGTGGTAAATGCTTTTCTCTCTCGTGGATGTAGGTCTTTCCATTCACGAGGCTTCTCAATCGGTTTTATGTGTCGTTTGTGTTGTTGTTTTCTCAATTCTTCTTCCTCTTGTGGTGTCATAACTGTAATTACCTTTCTCCTCATCAGTTTAGCATAATTTCTGGCAAAAATGGGAGTAAGTCGTTCAATACTAGTGTGTGTTTCCCGCAAAAATAACCCAGACCTCAGGAAGAAATGTAATTTCGTGGGCGCAGCCATTTTCTATACGCTAAGAGGAAAATGGCATTTTAGCCAATCACGCTTTCTCTGTCGCTTGCGCCCGACGCTACGCGCACGTGCCATAGTAAACATACAGATATTAGCATTGAATAGAAAACCACACGTTAGTAGTGTTACCACAGCAGGTGGTAAAAAAGTGGGATTTGGAGGCTGCACGACAGAATATCGGTTCCACTTTAATAGTAGACATGTCAGCTACGAGGCGTGCTTTGCATTGGGTTTTCAAGGTTGGAGATCGAACGAAAACTGCAAAATTTTACAGAGAAGTTTTAGGAATGAAGGTACGAGTAACTGTGTTATGCTGCACAAACATGATGGTTTCGCATGACTTGCAACTTGCATGAGTGGTCATGCTGACATATGGCACTGTGTCATTAGGCGTTTTTCTAGACAATATTGTCCAACGGGTTTTTGATGGGATCGTTTTAAAAGGGTTCAAACATTACTGTACCAGTACCTTGACTTTTGCATAAATTTCGTGCTACATGTACTCGCCCCCATATGCAAATGAAATTCTAGGTGAAATCTGAAGAGGATAAAATAGTCAATTTAAAGCATTTCCTTGTACAGTATTGTCTTGATTAAATGATTTGATGCCCAACTATTCGGAACCATAAAATTGAATAATAAATGTACTGAATATATGGATTATTTTGAATAGATATTAATGGTAAAGTATTATATTATATTAACTAGTAAAATACATTATTTTAGTTTTTGCGACATGAAGAATTTGAAGAGGGATGCAAAGCAAGTTGTAATGGGTAAGGACAATTGCTTGTACAAACAGAGGCTCATCATTTGTTCAACCAATGTTGCAAATTTATGAGTCATTATGCTTATATTGTACTTTCAACAAGGAGGCATATACTTAGTATGTACAGTGTCATATGGTGTAGTTTATTAATATGGTAAATCACATTTGCTTCGGAGTTATATATTGTTCATAGTGTTTAATATTTAAAGTTGCCAGAAAAAATCAGAATAATAAATTACAGACCTAAAGTGGTATATTTTATATTCAGCCCATATGATGGAAAGTGGAGTAAGTCCATGGTTGGGTTTGGACCTGAAGATGATCACTTTGTTGTGGAGCTGACTTATAATTATGGGTTAGGATCCTACCAACTGGGAAATGATATGCAGGTACAATTGACTGGTGCATGTGCCGTGCCAAAACACATGTGATAAAAAAAAATAAAAGCAGCAGATTTTGAGTTTGTTCTATTTTGGCATTTAAAAAATATCATTTTTGAGATCAATGCAGACACCAAGCCACATTTTTTTTCACAAAATGGCAGTTTCATCTCAGATGTTGTAACTTTCAGTTACTATGAAACTGGTTCATTTGCTAATGCATGTAGCTGTGGCAGGCAAAATTGAATGAAAAAAGTATTTTTTTTAACTGCTTTCTGTTTCATATTACATAGGGTATTACGGTGCACTCTAAACAGGCAGTAGAGAATGCTGCTTCACACAACTGGCCTTCTACTCAGATAGATGGAGCCACTGTTGTAAAAGCCCCAGATGGATACCCATTCATTTTGGTAGATAAACAAGAAAGCGGTGGTTTGTATAATTTCAATCAATCAAGGATTTGATGTGTTTTAATTTGCCATTCTTTCTGATTTCCTTAATTTTCCTTCTTTGATGATACCTACACAAAGTATACATTGTATGATTGATATTCTGAATATGTCAAATAGGACCACTGAGTATGCTGCACTCATAGGTGTAAGGGTCTTTTCTAATTATTTACACTGTATATATCTTCTCTGCAACATTTACTATTTTGATCCTTTACTATTTTGACCTTTAAACACTGAACAAAGGATGATATCATGCAAAAGTACATGTATTACATGATTATTTTCAGATCCAGTCAAAAAAGTTACATTATCAAGTTCCAACCTACAGAGGACAATAGGTAAAATATGGAGGAGATAATTTTTGCACTTAATATATGCTAAATATATTGTCAATTCTTAAATTTTGTCATATTTAAAAAGATATTAAAATTATTGATAAGACAAGACATAATGATAAATGTTGTAAAAGATCTTTTTTTTCTATCAGATTATTGGACTAAACTATGTGGGATGAAAATTTTCTCTCAAAGTGACAAAAGTGTGACACTTGGGTATTCAGATAATCAGGTATGGAATTTTGGAATCTTTTGAACTTTGTCTCTTGTTTGATATTTGTATATTGGTCCCTCCTGTCTTTTTTGGGCACTCATGCTAGCAGCTAGTGAAAAATATTTTTATTGTGTACACACTGATAGTATGTGACCTTACTATTAAATATTCGTGTCATTTGGTGTACAGATAGTGATAAACATGAACTACTGGTAGTAGCAGGCAGCTTGATTTGAAGGAGTAATTTTTCTTTCCTCAGTGCAAGCTTGAGTTTGTGGACATAGGTCAGCCCATTGACCATGCTAAAGCTGGTGGCAGGATTGCTTTTTCATGTCCAAGAGCAGAGGTAAGACTTGTAGTAATAGCAATTATAGTAGTAGTAGTGGAAGCAATCTACACACATTAATAAATTTAAAAGATTTTGTCTTTTTAGATGATTTTAAAAGAAGTTGAATTTTTATTTAAAAATTAGACTAGTTGTATGAATATTTTCACAGATGTTTATGCTAGTAACATTATTTTCAGGAACAATTGTCATTTTTATGAATTTAAATAAAATTCTGCTAGGTTGTCTCAAGTGTATCAAAAAGATAGCAGTGTCTTGATTTGTAGCTTCCAGATATAGAAAGCCAGATGAAGGCAGCTGGACAGACCATCCTCACACCCCTGGTCAGTCTGGACACTCCTGGCAAGGCTACTGTAGAAGTGGTCATCCTGGCTGATCCTGTAAGTACAAGCCTTCCAGCATTTCTAGCGTACATGCATTTAAAATGATAATGTGCATGTGGTAATGCCCTGTGAATTTTGAATGGATCATAAACTTCGAATGATCTTTTAAAAAATTGGCCATCTGGAGTTTTGAAGCCCATAAATTTCAACCAGGAAGTCATTTTGCACAATGGTGATTTTAGTGAATTTTGCACGGCTTAAAAATCAGCCTTTTTTCATGGACATAAAATTACCAGATATAATGTACACATTTTTTAAATGTAGCCTCAGCTGAAATCTTTTTGATCACTTTCATGTTGAACTTGATCAAAATCTTTTTTAAAAGTTTATTTCTGTCATACCAACAAATACGGTATAAGAAATATAATTTGATACTTGTACTTAATTGTAAATTGTCCTGTATTTTTAGGATGGCTATGAAATATGTTTTGTTGGAGATGAGGCATTCCGGGAGCTGTCCCAAATGGACTCTACAGCTGAGAAGTTGATAGATGAGGTAGAGTTAATGTTAACATGTTGTTAACCTATATTAAATTTTGAACTTTTTAAGTTACACATTGTTAAACTTTATTTTTCATTCATCAACATCATGATCTGATCCTATACAACCTGATAAAAAATTGTTTATAAGAATATTCTGACACCAAATGCTATGTGTCTTGGAAAGTCCCTAATCCTGGTTAGTGGCTGGGCCTTTTTTATGTCTATATACATTTCACAAATTATTATAAAAATTGAATTTTAAGCAAATTAGAAAATAAAAATCAATATTAAAATATAGAGATTAAATCAATATAAAAATATAAATATATACCTTAACCTTCACTATTTCTGTTTATTTTTTAGGCTATTGCAGCTGATAAAAGTGATGAGTGGTTTGCCAAGAAGGGACTTGTGAAGTCTTCTGAATGATTGATATAAGAAACAAGTCAATGTATTTGTTATTCTGATTTTTGATGCCATATTTCTGTATAATTGAATTTATTGTTTTGTTATTTGCTCACACCAAGTTGGACAATATATTGTTGATCTTTTTATACCATTGTTAATTTTAAAAGCTTGAGTCATGGGTTGAATCCCCCTGAGCAAGTGTTGATACACACTGACACTCGTACTGTGTGAACCGTAGATTTTACAGAAAATGTGTTCAAATGTGGAAAAAATGGTAAATAGTTGATTTTATGTGTGCTGTTTAAATATATGTTTTTTCCCTCTATGGCATTTCTTTTTCCATTCTTCATCTGTTTAAAGTTTCATGCATTAATAGAAAAGATCAGAAAAATAAAGTAAGATTATGTAAAAAGTTTCAAGGAGTATTAACTAATAACTATTATTATAATTATATTTACAATAGATGAAAAATGTGGATGTTTACAAGTGAGTTAGAATTTCATAATTGACCATTATGATTAGTAATTCACTGCAAGTGGTCTTTTCTCAAACATTTATAAAATATTGTGCCGTGCAAAATTTTAGAAATATAAAAATTTACTTATATTAAATATTTTACTCATTCTGGTAATGCATTTATATGCCCAGATTGTGTGTGAAAAATCTGATCACTCTTTATGACATTATATGTATATATATGAATTTCTTTCAGACTGTTATTTAACATCTTCTTTACCTTTTTACATTTCTGTTACTGTTCAAATTTAACCATGCAATCTAACTGACCTTCCTTGCAAGAAAAAATATCGTAATTATTTTCTGTTAAAGTTCAACAAGTTGTCATCAGTAAACATGGAGGCTTTGCACCGAGTAAATTTTTTAAAGCTTTGCTCCAAGTATTTACACCAGAAAACAAATGGATATATTTTAATTTGAATAGGCTTCTTGTACTGTACATCACATATCCAGTTGTTCTCATCATACCTTACTTGGAATGCATGCGAGGTTTTCAATAAATGTTTATCTCGTGAGATTTGAACTTATTATTACCTAGTTTTTTTTTTTTTTTTTTTTTTTTTTCAAACCTGATCATTGTTCTACCATAGAAAAGCATGGGTTAGGATAACGTGGTAGCTTACATGTATAAAGATAAGGCAAGTGCCTTTTATGAAAACGTACATTTTTTAGGGGAGGGGGGGGTGCTGCCAAAAATTGAATAAACCACTTTCAAAATAGGTTTTCGGATGATGTGAATAGGAAGCGAAAATGAAACTGAAAGTGCGACACCCCTTTTTACTGTCTGAATATAAATAGGTTCGGACGAAAGATATAAGGGGTGGAGATTTGGCTGGAAATTGTTAATTTATAATATTCAGTTTGGTTGGTGGATCTGCAACAAGAATGCAATTAGTAAAACGGGAATGAGGGGGCTATACAGTGCCACGCACTCATGTATATATACACACACGCGCCCTTTACCCGGGATAATTAAGTAGCACATGCACGGAAAGCTGTTACTTGTCTTTATTTTAAGAACAAAATTGCAGACGACAACTTAATATAAAACACGGTCCGTTTGGTTTTTTAAATGCAAATCTTCGGTCCAGTATAATGAAAGTTATGTAAGGACACCCTGTTATCTCCCGATGTTTAAGAAATGGGGAAATACTGTAGTAATATTGTTGGAAAACGTCAGTGCTGTTTGTTTGATGGAGGCACTCTAGGAATAATATTTAGGGCACTTCACGCCCAAATCCATTATGGAGGTGCATTTCACAAGCTGAAGTCCTAAAAAATAAAACTGAATGATGTGTATATGTGTGTAGAACAAAAACCCACGTCTGTCTCTAATATATATAGCCTATATGGGATTTCTGTCATGGTCTATTCCATTATGTAAGAAGCCCAAACGCAACTTAACAAATGGACATGTATGTTCCTGGAGATATAATTTATTTATTTATTTATTTATTTATTTTTTGTTTCGTGTCCCAATATCTGTTGTAGTAATTCAGTCATGGTAAATTATAGCTGTCTTTATGAATATTTATATAGGCTATAGGGCCTATTTATACTGTAGCTCAGGGGGCTTTGCGTTTTGCCTAAAACGTAGGCCTACGTAATCGTCCCCAGAAAAATCTCCGCAAAAAGTTATTCTTGTCCAAGCACTTGGTGCAATAGGTACCAGGGGTTTCTATTGTCGACTGACACATGTAAAGTGTTTTCATGCGTAGTTTGACATTTCTGACAAAAAATTTGCACCACGAAAGTGTTTCGATCTTTTAGGGCCTCCTATAGGCCTACTGTCAGCGTGCTGAATATTTCCCTTTTATAATACAGAATGACAAACAAACTAAAATCGTTCAAATAATAATAATAATCCCTCTATACAGAGGATTATCATGTTTTTACAACTTTATACTTGTGGGAAATAAATTAAAGAATAAAGCCAATGCTGATCGAATTTTCAAAGTGGGGAAAAGGCAGAATATTTTTCACTTGTGACAGTAGGCTAAAGTACGGATATTTCTTTTTGAGGCTAGACAGTGGATTATTTTTTATTCTTCATAGGTCCAGGGCAGTAAAAGTTTGACACTTCTTCTTTCATGCGGACCCTAAAACCACCAAAGTTTCTTATATAATATGCGCACTTAATATTTTAAGAGCGTGCCTGTAACATAATGTGCACCTAGAGCTATGTTGGGTTTGGGTGGTCGGCTGTCACCTTGATCAGCTGGCACCTAGAGCACGGGTAGGCCTATTTGTAAGAAAAAAGTCAGTTTGCAGCTCTTGGCAGACGCCTCACAACAGCTGCTCTCAAGACGACATTAAACCAAAAATAACAGGGTTATCTAGTGCTCACTCTATAACCAGACGACATTGACCCAATTCAGTGTTCACATGACACCATACATGAACCAGATCTACGCTGTAAAGTGGGAAACATGGCAGAGGCAGAACAACAAGCCGCCCCTGAAGGGGACTCACCGTCTGTTGATTTCTCTGGAATGTGGAAATTGGACAGAAGTGAAAACTTCGAAGACTTTTTGAAGGAAAATGGTAGCGTATGCGTAACTAGTGGATGGGGTTCAGAGGGAGAGGGAGGGGGAGTGAGTTAGCTATCGCAGTATCTGACCTGTACACCTAGGCCTACAACCATGCATTGCATATGTTTGGTATTTACGAAACGTGTTACTTGGAAATCACCGAGAAGTGCATGTACCTTCTCTGTCCACCATGGCAGAGGCTGTGTTGCATATATATGTATGTAAACCAGAGATCGAACTACTGGTAGTACGTGCAGTACCACCCCGAGGATAAATTTGAGTGTAGAAGGGGGCGTGGTGCGTGAGGGCGTGCAGCATGTATTGAGTTTGCCAGTATGGAGTTCACGCTTGATTGTAATGCCCATGACAGCTAATTAAGTCTAAATACGATAAACCCATTTGTCTCATAACATTTTATTGCTGTAGTGATTTACATTTTATTATGTACAGACACAGATGTGTCTGTACATATAGCCATCATCTGCGTCTGTCGTCGCCGTCGTCGCCGTCGTCGCCGTGCACTTTTACCGATAACACGATAAGTGGAAAACCATTTTACCTTTTGACTTGAAACTTGCAGAACTGATGAATATTCATAATACGCAGGTCAAGTTCGAAAATCAGCATGATCGGGTCTTTTTTAGGGAATTTATGCTGTTTTTTCACTTTTTTCAGCATATATGCAGCACCGATAGCACGATAAGTGGAAAACCATTTTACCTTTTGACTTGAAACTTGCAGAACTGATGAATATTCATAATACGCAGGTCAAGATCGAAAATCAGCATGATTGGGCCATTTTTAGGGAATTTATGCTGTTTTTTCACTATTTTCAATATAAATACAACACTGATAACACAATATAAGAAAAACGGATTGGCCAATTGTAATCATACTCACAGGAGTGGTCAATCTTACTAAAACGCAGGTTGAGTTCGAAAATCAGCATAATCAGGCCATTATTTTAGAAGTTATACTTTTTTTCACATTTCCTCAGATTCAATTATTAGGCATGTTAACAGTCTCATTATTTAACTAATAAGATGCCTAAAAGTGTTTGTTTGATATTTCCTGCATCTTTACAACATTGTTAGTTGATTATGTAAAAAACATGGTAAACTTGTTATCATGTATTGTGTAATAAAGTGTCAAAAATGGAAATAAACTCATATCATTGCAGTTTGTCAGATTCAATCATCCACTATGTTCAGAATCTCAGAATGGAGGAAATTGGACATTTAACACTGTTCTATTGATACTTTTCCCATCTCATCAATTTTCTTAGTTGGTCATATAAAATGGCAGTAAAATGTTTATTTTGTTTTATGTTAAAAAAGTGTTAAAAATGGAAATAAACCCATTTCAGAACAGTGCTGTCTTGTTTACATTTTGGCATTTTCAAGGCGTGACTTTGAAGTTCCATGGGCCTGAAGACCTTTGCTAGTCACATTTTCTGAATATCTGTGAAACAAATATTTTATAATTAAAAATTGATGGTCATTAAGCTGTTAAACATTATGTAATATTGCATCAAAATTTGAAGAAACCCCTATTTTGGGCACTGCTTCCATGATGACCATTTAAGGAAAATCATGTCACTTACTGTTCTCAAACTTACAGGAAAGAAACATGGGACTAAAATACAGCTTCAGTAGGCAATGCAGTCTGTTTGGTATTTTTATTTATTTATTTATTTATTTTGGCAGTTAAACAGTTTTTTGTGAAAATTTAATTTTTCACATATTGGCATTTTCAAGGTGTGACTTTAAAGTTCCATGATCTTGAAGACTTTTGCTTGTCACATTTTCTGAATGTCCATGTTACTAATATTTTATTAATAACATTTGATTGTCATTATGCTGTTAAACATTATGTAATGTTGCATCAAAATTTGAAGAAACCCCTATTTTGGGCACTGCTCCTATGATGACCATTTAAGGGAAATCATGTCACTTACTGTTCTCAAACTTACAGGAAAGAAACATGGGTCTAACATACAGCTTCAATAGGCAACGCAGTCTGTTTGGTAAATTTTTCTGGCAATTTAACAGTTTTTTGTGAAAATTTAATTTTTCACTTATTTGCATCTTTATTTTCTGTTCTTTGTCTGTACATTTGACAGCTTTGCTGCCTTGTTTATGTACACACTAATCCATTGTTATGGCTTTGAAACCTTTTTTATATTGTGTTAGTTCAACATTTAGGCCTAAAACTAACAAACTGAACAGTTAATTATAAGTCAGTGATGGTATTATCTATTATGGTTTTTATGTCCATGACAGGTGCCAACATTGTAGCCAGAAAGATGGCAGGATTATCCAAACCTACACAAGAAATCAAACAAGAGGGGAACAAATTTGTGATCAAGACACAGGCTGGTTTTTGGACACAGGAGCAGTCCTTTACAGTGGGAGACAGTTTTCAGCAGGACCATCAGGGCACGACGATGACAGTAAGCTGAGCAGTCAGTTCTAAATATTCCAGTTGCGTAAGATGTAACAGTGGTTGCCCTTACACAGCCTGATTGCCTGTGACCTTTTTAAAAGATAGGCGGGTCTTGCTATAAATAATGAGCTGACAGTGCCCTTTGGACCCTTATGTAAGATAGATGTAAAATTGTATGTCTTCCTGCATGATTATTCTATTTATTTGTGACACCAGCATATTCTACCTAGTGTTTTAAAAGGAACCCTGAGTAGTTGAGTGATAAAGGTGATACAGGTACTCCTCTCGTGGTGTACGTTACCTTCTCTGTCAGTAAATATATAGGCCTACTGTATAAAGAACATCCATTTAAGCACTGAAACTCTGGGGTTGATTGTGTTGTTTAAATAGGCATTAGATTATATATATAGCATTTGATTGTATGTTTATTTTATTAGTGTTCAACTCGTTGGGAAGGGAACAAACTTATCACTGATTTAGTTCCCAATGAAGAGGGTAAAGGGAAGAAAACTAAGAATACTAGAGAGTTGGTGGGTGACGAGTTAGTGCAGGTAAGAATGCTGTAAGATTTGTAATACTGGTACTGTGCACCATACTACAATACCAGTACATGTACTGCTGTGACTGTGTCATGTCTGTGAATTTTTACATGATTTTTTCTTAATGTCCACCGTTGGTAGTATCTTAAAATGTAATACTTAATGTGTAATCTATCAATTTTAGTGATTTCGGGAATCTCTTTTTGCTGTTGTTCATTCAGTATTGAAAAATTATGGTAAAATATATCATCAGTCTCTATAAGTTGTTGGCCAGGTTTTTGATAATTAAATAGAATTGACATCCTTGGTCGTCATGTCACAATGAATGATGGTGATTAGAAATTGCCTTTTGATTTTTTTAAAATTAATTAAAATTCATATGTAGAGCAATGACTGCATTATTACTGCACATTATTTTGTGGGATGCTGCTATATACAGCTTAAAAAAGATATAAGTATTTACTTTATTTTCTTTCTAATACTCCCTTAAATAAATAAATAAATGAATGTTCTTTTTATTATTTTGTTTGTTGTTGTTGTTTTTTGTTTTGTTCTGTTTTTTTTTTTTTTCAGACCATGGAAGTGGGAAATGTGGTGTGCAAGAGAATATTCAAGAAACTGCCTCCAAGTTAATTGTGCTGAACAAGACGCTAATGAAATATATATTTTATAGTATATATTCCAAGCATGTTAACTAAACGTTGACAAACTTTAAGTTATTAGTTAAACATTTTGGGCATTAATTCCAGTCATTTGTATAACATAGCCCATTTGACTGTTTTATAAGAGCTATAGTACATCATGTTTGTTTAAAACAAAAAGTGCATATAATGTACAGTAAAACTGTCTTTGTGTAAAAGTGTTATAATATAAGACATGGCATGTTATCTGACCGCTTACAATAAGCAGAAGATACTGTAAACAATGAAAGTGTAGACCTACTGAAAAAGGGACATTTGCAATACTGGTCATTATTTTTTTATTTTTTTTTTACTTGATTCATGTCACATATGTGGTATTTTATCATGGTACATGTGCTTATTTAGCTTGTACAATCTCATGACATTTGCTTATATACCATGCTTACATTGAAATGTAATTTTTATGTACAGACACAGATGTGTCTGTACATATAGCCATCATCTGCGTCTGTCGTCGCCGTCGTCGCTGTCGTCGCCGTGCACTTTTACTGATAACACGATAAGTGGAAAACCATTTTACCTTTTGACTTGAAACTTGCAGAACTGATGAATATTCATAATACGCAGGTCAAGTTCGAAAATCAGCATGATCGGGTCACTTTTAGGGAATTTATGCAGTTTTTTCACTTTTTTCAGCATATATGCAGCACCGATAACATGATAAGTGGAAAACCATT